AGGCAGTTGAGAATCGTCGATTTGTGGCAGTAAACTCCTAGAGTCGGGTAAAGCAAGTGAGAAGATTTACCCCATTGATGATCATGTCGTATGTGCGGTCGCTGGTATTACGAGTGATGCCAATGTGCTTATCAATCAACTGCGACTATCAGCTCAAAGGTAGTGTAAGTAGTAGACCAGCGGCTGGCAGTAGAGGTAATTATAGGTATCGATATTCGTATCAAGAACCAATACCAGTGGAAAAGTTGGTGACTAGTGTATGCGATGTGAAACAACAGTAAGCCCAGTGTTGGAATATATGTTCGCTTTCCAGCTCAGGAGTTTCCTCACTAACTGTGGGAGTCTATATACGAACTCGTGAAGAAGTGTTTCGGAAACCAACACGAATTTCCCAGAATTTCCTCACTTAGTTGCCCATGTGCATATTTTCCCACACTGCCAATCACAGGTGTTGAAATCGTCACTTTCTTGCATCACAGGTACACGCAATTTGGCGGTCTGCGTCCATTCGGCGTGTCCTTCCTCTTCGCTGGCTATGACGACCATTACGGTTTCCAATTGTAAGTGTTGTTGTTGATCCCCACGACTTGAAGGCTCGTTTAGATACCACACTGATCCCTCGGGAAATTTGAGTGGGTGGAAGGCCACGGCTATCGGTGTGAATAACCAGACGGCACAGGGCATCCTCAAAACTGACTGGCATGAGGATATGTCCACTAAGGTGAGTTTCGCGGCGGTCGACGTTTTATCATCTCGGTGTTGGTTGGTGTAGGAGTGTTTGGACTTGGTTGCAAAGGTGTTGGTGAAGTCCATGGACACCGCCACGCCGACCGCCGAGACTCGTGAGTGGACCGGTGCTCATGTGAGATGCGATCGATGCACTTTCAGTCGAGTTCGGCGTTTTGACCTTGAATAAGGATAAGGAGGTTGCCTTCCGAATGTTGTCTGATGATGAAATCAATACTCTTATGGCGGCGGCTAAGCCTGAAAAGCCGGCTGGTAAGTTCTGTGGTCACTCGCGAAGTTCCGTATTGATTTCCTTGTAGATGAGGAGTAATACGCATCGATGATTGCTTGTGGTTTGTGAGTACTTAAAAGGCTAGTGAACTGCCTTTTTAATGATACTGTTTCGTAACGACCTGGTTGCTGTGTTTGTAATAAACCTGATGGGCTCTTTATTGAGGGAGTGAGGACAGCAGTGATGTCGCACGTCCAGGAGGTGTAGGGTGGATTCTTTGAGTCGGTGGTATATTGGGTATTGAATTAAAGCGTAGTCTCAGACTACGCTTTAATTGACCAGTCTCAGAGTCTGAGACTACTAGTCTGTGCTGTACTCCACTACTATCTATGCTGCATAGGTTAGCGAGTCGTACGCCCTCATATTGTTGCATTGATAAAAGTCTCTTGTTGACTTCAATGCAGTGAGGGATAAGATAAGGAGGGGCCGGGGCGGTGGTTCGATATTGACTGTGATTTAGGCGAGCACTGGCTTCAAATGCCGCTGGAGGGCCCGAAGTAGACTTCTGAATCACTATCAGTGAACACAACGTCCTGAAGTTCAAGGTCTTACTAAATTCAGGGGGAGCGGTATGATAGGGAGGGATGGCGGTGGCTCAATTCGATGAAGTCGGTGGGGGGGGGTGACTTGGGCTGCTTGAGAAGGGTTGTTTTTGATATACTCCATCTTTTTAGATCATCCACAGGGTTTAATAGCCCACGAGGACTTGAGTCTGGCGCCTTAGACCACTCGGCCAAACTGACTAGATATCGCTATTCTTCAAGCACACGGCAGGCTCGTGGTTTGTAGATCTTCCAATATTAGCATATGGCCTCATGGAGTTCCCTCGCACAAGGTAGTAACACATGTCAGCTGTGGGGTTCGAACCCACGCGGATTTCTCCACCAGAACTTGAGTCTGGCGCCTTAGACCACTCGGCCAAACTGACTAGATATCGCTATTCTTCAAGCACACGGCAGGCTTGTGGTTTGTAGATCTTCCAATATTAGCGTGTGGCCTCATAGAGTTCCCTCGCACAAGGTAGTAACACATGTCAGCTGTGGGGTTCGAACCCACGCGGATTTCTCCACCAGAACTTGAGTCTGGCGCCTTAGACCACTCGGCCAAACTGACTAGATATCGCTATTCTTCAAGCACACGGCAGGCTTGTGGTTTGTAGATCTTCCAATATTAGCGTGTGGCCTCATAGAGTTCCCTCGCACAAGGTAGTAACACATGTCAGCTGTGGGGTTCGAACCCACGCGGATTTCTCCACCAGAACTTGAGTCTGGCGCCTTAGACCACTCGGCCAAACTGACTAGATATCGCTATTCTTCAAGCACACGGCAGGCTTGTGGTTTGTAGATCTTCCAATATTAGC